TATATATATATATATATATATAAAAGAAATATCATGATTCTAAAGGTTAATAATTTAGGATGTATTTGGTAAAATTAATTTATAAATTAACTAAAAACTTATAATTTAAAGTTAAGTTAGAGTTGAAAATTTGAAAAAAATTTATTAGTTAATTAATTGAATTAAATAAAATAATAATAATAATAAATAATAGTTTACCAGCTAATTTATTTCTATAAATTAATTAAAGTAGCTTATGAAATAAGTTATAAACAGTTAAAAGAAGTAATTTGCATACAATACAATCTTATATTTTATTTTACCTTTAAATGGATGATTTTGATGGAGAATTGATTTATTTTCATTTATACGACCGATTCCCACTCTAAGCAAAAAGAGAGAAAGAAAGAAGGCATAATCTGAATTCTGAAAGAGCGAAACCCGTTTTCTCCCCCACAGACCACAGTATATTATTTCCACTTGCTCCACCTTTCTCTCCTCATGCTAAAAAAGGGAGGGAAAACGCCATGAGAAACTGCTTAAGGTGCTGCATCTCTTGCATCCTCCCATGTGGGGCTCTCGACGTGATACGCATAGTGCACTCCAATGGCCGAGTAGAAGAAATCTCCGGCACCATCAAGGCCAGCGATGTCATGAAGGCACACCCCAAACACGTCCTCAAGAAGCCATGCTCCTCAGCCGCCGTCGACGCTGCCGGCTGCGGCGGAGTCCACAAGATCGTGGTGGTGCCTCCCGACGCGGAGCTCCAACGTGGCAAGATTTACTTCCTCATGCCACTCCCTCCTCCTCCTCCTCCACTTGAGAAGAACATGAACCAGCAGAGAAGGAAGAAGAAGAAGGAACACCGAGAGAGAAGTAGGAATAACAGTAACACCAACGTGTCCATGACTATGACTAGCTTTCTCGTCTCCGATCGCTACTTGACTGATATACTCTCCGAGAAGGTCTCAACGCAAAGAGACAGAAGAAGAGGCCGTGTTGCTGTGTGGAGGCCTCACTTGGAGAGCATTTCTGAGTCACCTTCTCATCTGTAACTCTTCTTTCTTTGAGTTTTGGATACAAGCTACAACTTATTTCCATAGTTTTGAGTGTGTTTGGATATATATACCAGAAGTATTTATGAGTGTTTCTCTACTGAAAATAAAAATTATTTATATTTTATAGTAAAGAAATTCTCAAAACATTTCTAAATTTATATCCAAATAGGCTCATTCTTGGTAGATCACAACCTTTTGCCTAAGGATCATGTCATGTCCATATAGTTACAATCCTCGTATTATAGGCTTCCAAGTTCCAACCCCATTTTTTTAAAATATATATAAATAAATATTTTCCTTTTTTTTTTTCTTTTCATGTTTACTCTGCTTCTGCAAAGATTGCTGTGTACATAGGGTTGTCCATAGAGTTTTAGACCATAGTTTGGTGTGTATTCATCAAGATTTTAAAAAGGGTCTCCATTCTCCAATTATGACTTCAATCGCCACATCAGTCACAATTTGCCGCAATATTAAAGATTGAGACAAAACTTTGAACTACAACCTTGGTTTTGATAGTATAATTTAGAGTTATCGTGGTCGTGTTTCAGTTAGTGGGGCATGAAATTAATCAAACGGTGTTATAATTTTGTAATTTTCTGGAAGACGTGAAGCACGCAGAACTTCAATATTTTTGCTTTTAATTGTTGAAAGCTCGGAATTTTGAAGAGTACAGTGAAGAAAGATAAACTATGATTGAGATGCAGATAGAACGATCCTACTTCTACTGTGTCACACTGTCAAGTGTAATTGTGTATTGGATGATAATGGAAGCTGATAGCGACATGATAGATATTATGCTTTTGCTAGCACTAGCAGTGGATCAGTATTTTATTTACCATGATTTATTTCTATTGTTTCACTTGGGAAAAATGACACAGTAGTTCGTCGGTGTGAGGTGACACAATGCTGCTATATATCACTTTCTATACACGTACTGAGTTGTGATGATAATAGAATTAAAACCAAGTTGATAGCTTTTCCTTCTTTTTTTCTGAAGTGGGAAAAAAGAAGAAATTCTTTTGGACCCCCAAATGGGGAGGACAGATTCATTCATGAGTGTGTATACAGTGCAAACTGCAAAGCCATGTTGTACTTCACCCCACTATAAGTGAGGGGAAAAAATAAGAAATAAAAGGAAAGGTGTGAGGTGGGATCAAGAAAAGGGGAAAGAGATAAATTAGTGGTAAAAGGAATTGAAAGTCCCCACACTGCTTTCACATTATATACTAATAATGCATTGCTATGCTAAGTTTGCATAAATTAACGGGATATGACTTTAGCTTAAGCATTTTGTTCTTTTGTGTATGGATATGATTGGGTTAGTGGCAGTGGCATCCTGCAAAGGTATGATTAATTAACACAGTAGAGTTTGACCTCTGTGATTGGCTGGATGGCATGAGCCTTGAGCAAAGCTCTGGTCTGTTGTTTCTGTTTCTGGTTCTGATTCTGAATTTTGATTCTCAGATCCGAGAGCATTTATGGGGTTTTCACTTGAATGTTCCACCATAGTGACCAATAAAATGTTGACAAACTAGTTAATGTATAAATGAAAGAATCATTGCAATGTGATCTGGCACAATTCATCTGTTATTTTTAAGTAACATCAATTCCTTCAAATCTTGTAAATAAAAAAATAAATTATAGTTATAAAGAAATATTATGTTAAAAGTGACTAATCAGAATTTTCGAATGGAATAAGTCACCCATTAAAACCAATGAATACTTTGCGAACATTATAAGTTGATGGAAAGAATTTTTCCTATTCATCTCACGACATGTCTGTGTCATCAGTGATCGAAAATTAAGCATTTTTATTGTTCTCTAACCACAGAATTTTTTATTACTAACATTTTATACTAGAACATTATCGAGACTGATCGTGCTTTTGCTTATATGGAAATAAATTGACATGGGAACAAATAAATAACGCTGTGCTGTCTGTGGCTGTGACTCGTTGATTAAGTATGTGTTATGATACTAATGAAGAAAGTAATAAACAAAAAAAGAAAAAAAAAAATGAAAAGGAGAACGGAGGAATGGATATATATGATATATCCCTTCCTTGGTGGTTAGCATCTTCAAATTAAATGAAAAAGTAAAATTTTTCTTCTCTTGCTTGATTTCTTGAAAGAAAATAATGGAAATGTCTAAAATTAAATACAAATTCTTATAAATATTAAAATAAGATTCACCAAAATGTTTCTCTTACCTTCCTTTCCATCCAAGATGCTTCTGATGAAAAAAATGAGATACAAACTAGATTTTGATCAACAAAATTATTTTAAATTTTATTTCGAGTCTATTTTAAATTTAATATATTACATCTTAACAAGTAAAATAAATAATAATTTAATAAATACTTGAAAAGGTGTGAAATTTTTACAAGATTAAAATATTGTCTGAGAAATCAACAGGCTGTAAAGCCGTTAGGAGGAAGTCAGGAATTTAAGTATATGAAACTAATCTTTGACATATTAATCAAAATATTGATGAAGATAGTAAAAAAAAGAATTAGTTTTTCAATGAAATAGTTCTTTTCAGAATTTATATATTATGAATAAAACACACAACAACCAATAGATATATAGTTATAACTTTTTCCCTCCTTTCATTTGAATTAATTAAGTTTTATACGATTTAAGATAGACTTATTTTTGAATACATGCTAAAATATGTTTTTGTTTCTTTTTTTAAAAAAAAAAATCAAGGTCCGTTTTAGTATCTTAATTATTTTATTATTTTAGTCTTTAAAACAATTTAGATAATAATTTTATTATGCTATATACAAATTAGTGTAAGCCGAATTATTGCATCATTTTCTCATGGTGACTCATAAAATTCGAACATGATTGTCGAATGAAATTTAAACACGAGAATTCATTATTTTAGTAATCGAAAAATGACCAGATTTTGATTTTAGTTTCCATAAATTATTTTTAAAAACTTGTAAATGTTGTTTTTGGTCTTATCAAAAAATTTGTGTTTTTTTTTTTTTATATTTGTAAAAATAGTATATTTTAATTTTGATTCCTATAATATATATATATATATATATATATATATATATATATATATATATATAATAGTGAAATCAAACAATAATTGGGAATATCACGTACAAAAAAAATATTACAAACAATTATAGATGCTATTTCGGATGGTCACATAACTTTTTTATTGAACACATAAATAGTTAAAAAAAATCACTTAATAGTATGAATTAAAATAATAATTTTGAATTTTAGAACGATAAAAAATATTTTTTTTACCAAAACTAAAATAAATAAAACAGGACACATTTTGTATGGAGTAAAAGGATATTTAATTTTTTTTAAAGAAAAATGGACTTTAGTAAAAATTTATTAAAGGAGTCAAATTTATTATTAATTGGTTTTAATTAAAAAATTATTAATTTCTCGAATATTGATGTAATCAAATTTATTACTCAAAATTTCAGATGAAAATGAAATAAAGGGAAAAGGGAATTAAAAAAAAAAAGTTAAGAAATTGAAGCACAATAAAGATTTATTTACTTATAAGAAGAATATTATCTTCAAATTTCAAATCGTTCTTCCTAAAGAATAATTATTTTATAAAAAAATGTACAATATATTTCTTTGTCCTATTTATTTATTTAAGAGTATACATCTTTTCTTTTATAGCCAAAGCCACCTCATTGTAACGTCTTAATTTTTAGATATAATATTCTTAATTTTATACTCTTCTTAAAATAGTAATCTAAATTTTTAATTATTATATATATATATATATATAAAATAGAGAATAAGTACAATATTTTATATATTAAATTTTTATTACAAAATTTTCAGTAAAATAAAATAGAATTATATAGTATTTATTCTTAATTTTATAATTATTATGATCTGATTAATAAAATAGAATCATATAATATTTATTCCCAATTTTATTATTATTATTATCCTAATTTTTTTAAGATTATTAGATTTTAGTTATTATATTAAATAGATTACGTGTATAAGTGTGTGAGATTATGTGGTACGAAGTGAATATTGTAGACATGATAAATGTGGTGTGTGGTGCAAATGATAAGTGTGTGCAGAGTAGATAAATAAGTAAAAAGTGTAGATGTGGTAATGTAAATGTGGTGTGTGGTGCAGTAAATGGATAAGTGTAAGTGTTGGCATGGTGAAATAATTACTAAGCAATAGATTAGGCATGATATTATGCATGATATTACGTAGGTAAGGGATATTACGTGGTATAGATTACACCCTCTATAAATAGCAGCATCAATTGAACATTTAAATAGCAACAGTGGGAGAGAACGTAAAAGAAAGAGTAAGGAAAAAAAAAAAAAGAACGTGAGGAAGAAAATTGTGGTACATTGTTTTAGGCTATCTCTAGAACAATTTTATATCTCTACTAAGGTAAGGGGGAGGAAAACTTTATCTCTTTAAAATTTTATATACTACTATGTTTATTTATTTATGTTATATTTTATGTATATTTATTTAGTGAGGTGTTCCTAACCTCATTTATTTGCTTAACCTATGATTATATTTATCCATAATAATTATTAAGGTGCTCATATTTTATGTTGTTTAATTATTTTATAATGATTGTCATTTTTATTTATATGACTGATATTTTTAATATATTCTTTTTTCGTAAATATATTTATTGTAAATATATTTTATCATCAACTATAATATAGTTTTGATATCTTGGACTCGTCTTGTTGTTATTTCTTCATGTATTGATGAAGATAAATATTATTCTATGGCCATAGAAGATAAAGTTTGAATTATTTGTAGTTGGAGGTTTGACTTAGGAGATTTAAATGAATAAGGAATGAAGGTGAAATATCCTCTTGTTGGTTAAGGTGAAATATCTTTTTGTTGGTTAATATTATGATGATGCTCATTTATCCTGACTAGTCACTACAATTATAATTCAAATTTTATTGTAAGATGAAAATTTAATATATGATATATATATATATATATATATGTTTAATATTAATTATAAATAATTCTGTACATTCTTTTGAATTATTGCATTTATTGGATATTGTTCTCACTCCTCATTTTTCTTTATTTTTTAAATTAAATATATTACAAAATAGATGGATCTACTTGAGATTTTAGATTATTTTGCAGTTGTTATATATTGCTGCTGTCTTACTTGGAAAGAATTAGAATGTGGAAGCTGTTTGATAGATCTATTATAATTTTATCTGTGATTATAAATTTATTTTCATTATCAATATAAATATTGTAATAGAAGTGGAAGAAATAAATAATGTGTAATCAATTTTACAAATATGATATGATACAATTACATTTAATGGACCTAATTCTATTTAATGTTAAATTAAAATACTCAAATTAATGTTATATATTATACATTTATGACAATTACTCTTTTTATATATATATAT